TTTTGATTTTATATTATTTATTTATCCTTGCAATGGCGTTTATGAAAAATTGATGTTTTTGAATGTTTCTATTATTAGCAATAATGGATTTGATTCTTAATTATGCGGAAATGTCGAGAATTTACCAAATAGGGAGAGTTTCTCATCACCCAAGTTTCAATTGGACATAAACTTGGAATCATGCAACTCGGTGCATGATGAATGAGAAATTTCATATTTGGAAATTAGACTAATTCGTTGACAAAGTTTCAAGTGAAGGACTAGGAGATCGAGCATACAAAGTTGTGTGTTGATCAAGTCCACCGCAAGAGTAAGAAGGATATTCGTCATGATTTACTAAAGGTTTAGTAAATATGATTATACTTATAAGATTAAGTGTGATACTGAATTGATTGAAAGAGTTTAAATCAATATCAGAACGAATAAGAAGAATCAAGTAGGCAGAAAGATAAAAATTTCGCTATCCTAAGAAGAAGGGAGAGTACCTTTTAGTATGTTTTATGATAGGTCTCAATGATTAAGAACCATATCTCAATTGATTCTCTAAGTGAGTCTTAGTATAATTGTATGTTTGAGAAGAGGAATCAAGAATTGAAGAAATGGTTAAATCACGAAGTCAATCATACTTCATTCCAATAACAAGTCTTGGAGTTAAGATTGTGACATTGAGTAATAAGTCTTAATAAGGTTTATAACATTCACCAAATGTGGAAAGTTGTGATGTCTTGGATAAGACAAAGACCAACTAGGACCAATTTTGTGAAGTGTTTTGTCTTGATAAAAGCTACACTAAATCTTGAATATTTGTTTGTCGAGAAATGTTTATTGACAAGAAAATCTTATCTGTCAAGGAGTCAGTGGGAGTCTTAATGGTCTTGAAAGGTTTCAAGAACAAATCAAGAATAAACCTTATCGATCATCACTAGCACACGATTTGAGGTTTATAACCTATCATGTTGACATTATTTTGTTTCTGTGCCATTCCAATTGAGTTAATTATGCATGTGAGTTCTATGAGTTCTCATTTAAATGCATAAAAGCCAAGAAGCTTGATCAATGAAAAGTACATTGATAAGAAAGGGTGAGCTGCTTAACTGCTTGGAAGACATGGTGGGCACTCATGTTACCGTAAGGCATGAAATCAAGATTAACAGTTCGGTCCATATGAGTTTGGATTTGTCACAAACTTTGGTTTTGAGAAATTCGCATGGATACGAACACATACACCATTAAAATCTAAGTTTCATAAGATTCCCTCCTTCATGAAAATGACTATGAGGAAATGCTTTCACTATAAGAGAGATTTTAAGAAGATAGTGATTGTGAAAATTGCATTCTTAAATTCGATTATGGTTACGATATCCCTTTCCATGATTCGAATTGTGAGATTTGGCAATTAGTCTAAATTGTTTAGAGACACATATGAGCTATCTAAAGAAAAGGTGTATAAGCTTAGATAAAGGATTATAAAAGCATTAGGTATTATAAATATGAACTCAAGAAATTCAATAGGTATTGTTTTTCTGGATGTTAATCTGTTTTCTAAATACATGTCAAAGCTAGTGGGAGCATAAGGGTTATGCTTATATGATAATAATCATCATGATAGTGGGAGCATAAAAGTTGTGCTTGTATGATTATTATGGCAAATATTGCAAGTTAGAAATATTAATTATAGAAAACAAGAGTTAGACTTTGCAAAGTCGCAAGGGTTGAAAAGTTGTTTTGCTATAATTAAGGGCGAGAATATTATGCTTCATTTCAAATATAAAGGCTTAGGTTGTGGAATGTTAATAAATTTAGTCAAGGATACATGGTGCGTTCTCAAAATTTTGATTATCATTATGGCATCCATCTTCATAGTTCGAATTGTGAGAACGTGACACATTAAATATTATGGCAGAAGATTGATAAAGTATCGTATCTTTATGTAAGACATTATGCGTCGTGTCCCATACGCTTCGGGTATAGGATCGATTGCAAGTGCTATAATATTTGACCATTCTAAAATTTTCCAAATGTCTAGCGCATTTAGAGGGAAAAGGACAAGAATCGGTTTTGACTAAGATAATTAAACAACTATCAAAGGACGATCCAAAGCTCGCTGAGGATTGGTCGCTTGTGAGTAGTTGGAAGTATGGTATTGGATGGACCATATTGACATTATTATGAATAGATAAGATTCTATTAAGAATGAGTTGTCATATGGAAAATATGGAAATGTTTCCATATTGGGAGTTGGATATTGAGAATCTATATCTAGATTAGAAACTTTTATGCAAGAAAGGATGTTCAAAGGAATGTACTTTGAGACATCATATCTATAGAATTGTTTCTTATAGAGATTGGCCAAGTCTTGATGATTTTGAGCTATGACTTTACGAAAGAATCATTGCATAAAATGTTAGAATCTAGCATAAGTAACAAGAATTTGATATTCTTACACTTGTGATAGGTATTGGGAGTTGTGAAATGAGTATGATTGGAAATGTGTTCATTTGATCTATTTCACAAAGTAAGGACCACAGGTAAACATTATGTGCATGTTAAGAGCATGGGACAAGTGTAGTAATAATTCAAGAAAGAAGTTGATTGCCCGAAACAACAAATAATGAGTAATCAATATGGTGATTAAATAAAATGTTTTATTTATACCTAGAGTTCGGGGCCGTATGGGATTAGTATTATCCTCGTGTTTCACTTTGCATGTTTTGACTTCTTGAATAATTAATTATTTCAGAATAATTGAATTATTCGAACAGACCACAGTCATTCATATATTGGAAGTAGGTATGAATGAAGACTATCGTGAATTGGTGTGTGGATTGTCTAAAGTTTATTAGACATAAGCAAATGTTTGCTGCAACGTTCATGAGTGCTTATGAATATGATTTGAGCATTGGATTAAACCCACTCACTTGGATCACTTCATAGATTTTATCACGAGTGATTGGTGAGACGATAATATCTTATATTCTTGAAACTGAGATGTGTGAGTTGTATCTTGCGAGTCGGTTACACATGGATAATATGTAAACGCACCAGTAACTTGGTGTCACAAAACATATTGTTGTGTGTGATTCGGTGAGTGAGTGCAAGCAAGCATTGAATCAAAGTTTATTTGTTCCTTTTATCCAAAATGGGATGAAAGCGATATCTGTGGGCCCCTCGATGATTTAGTGATGACACCTAAGCCCTTGGCCAAGCCGGGACTAATTTGATGTGTTCAATTGTAGTCTTTTGTCAGTCGTCGTAAATCGGAAATCAGGAAAGAAAACGTAGACAGAGAGAATGATTTAAATCCATGTTGCAGTCTATACGATATCTAGAATGGAGGAATATATGATCTCTTATCTAAAGGACGCGTATCTAATAAGATCAGAGTTAATAGTGGATTTTGAAAGCTACGATTACGGATCAGGATCTGAAGTCATATGCATAATAGTTATTAGACTTATCCAAGCGGGAGACTGTTGGATTTGTGTCTAAGTTCATAACTATTTTGATATGTACTTGACCTGATGGTGCATGGTCATTTTGGGTTGCCTTCACCAAAGCAACTTGATAGGATGAATTATATGGAGAGAGAGAGAGAGGATTAATTATGATTTATTAATATATTATGAGAATAATATATCAAAGGAGAAATCATATTGGTTAATTAATATTAGTCAATAATTAATTAAGAATTAATTTTTTGGCTAAAAGACATTAATTAAACTTAAGGGACTAGAACTGTCAATTGTATGATAGTTGAATATTGGGCTAATGGACTCTATATTAGAGGGGTGAATGAATTCTATGGGGAAACCCATTAGAAATCGTCCCAGGCCTCTAAAGAGGGAGTCCATGGGTTGCTTAGGGCTTAAGTAGTCAAATTAGGGTTTCCTTGTTAGATAACCCTAATAGCCTCACTATTTAAGGATCCCTAGAGCACCAAAAACGTGGCTAAGGTTTTCCTTAGGGTTTCGAAAAGATTTTGGGTGCCTCCTCTCTTATCATTCTTCATCCTCTTGCTCTTGGTGTTTGTGAGCCATTAGAGGAGTGACACTTGTGACTCTAAGCTTTCTAAAGCCATTACAAGGAGGATTTGAGTTGTTATTACTATATAACAAAAAAAGGTATGTATTCTAATCTTCTTGGTGAATCTTGAAAATAGTATGACTCATTAGGGTTTTATTATGTGTTCATAATGTTGTGTAATTAATAGTAAAACATAGATCCAATTCTAGGGTTGCATCCACACATAGTATTGTTTGTATAAAACCCATCACACCAGCCCAACAGTAGGAAAGTATATGAGCATCAACTACAACATCTTTCAGTTTGCCACCCCTGACCATAGATAACATAGGATATGAATAAACAAATATAATGGTCTTTATGTTTGTATATGATTACATTACTTTATGGGATAGTGTCAAGAAAACTGGTTCAGATTTGAACTCTTACCCCAAATTTTCATTTAGGCTTCTAGTTTTATCCGCTGTTCTTACCTTTTAACACCTGTAAAAAGAGTAAAACTAGAAAAAACCCTATGGTACATACAAATGCAGTTACTCAATGCAACCAAACCAACCAATACTCTCTACATACATACATACATACATACATACATACATACAATACAGATGCATATAGATAGATATAAATACCACAAGAAAGAATAATAATAAAAAAAAAAAAAAAAAAAAAACAAAACTTGGGGAAAGGAGGGTTTCAATCTTGAATGCATTGTATCTCTCCCATCATAATATGGTTGCTTGTAACCTTAAACCCAAGAAAAGTTGGGTTGATCTGCCTCCCCTTTTTGCCTTTCTTTTTCCCACCACCACCACAAGTTTTGCTATTGTGTCCCTCTGATGCACCCTCTAGATCTGGTGAGGGTGGCTTCCTAGTAAGATGATTATTATTACTGCCACGGATGCATCACTCAATGATGACGTCCTCCTAAACCTACCACCACCACCACCTACCATCATCATCATGTTCTCCCTAGTTTATCTTTCTCTGAAAGTTGAATCCACCTCACATAACCCTGCTTCATGAGATGATGATGATGATGAAGGACGTCTCACCAATATATTTATTTTATCACTACTACTACTACACCTTTTTGACCCCCTGCTGCATACAAACCCTCAACATAAGAAACTAAAACATATCAATTATCTGTTCCAGGATTAATAACTAAAATTACCTGTCTTGACCCTCTCCTGTTGCTGCTGCAAAAGACTCAACCCTGTCATTATACAAGCTTTTATTCCCAACTGCTAATATCATATCACAACACAAATATATTTATTTACTACGCTATGTATAAAAAATAAATACCATCATAAACAGGATATAAATTTACCAAAATTATTTGGCATTTCCCATGGTCTATAGCAGCAACACCACCTTGTTGATTTTCTGCGGCTACACGTATCATCATGTTATTGTTGCCACCTTTAGTTTTTGGAACTTTTCTGCTGGAATTTGTATAGACTGCCTCCTGAGTCTCAGAAAAGAATGGTACTAGCTCTTGTGTTGAGCTTGAACTATGCTTCCTCCTATTAGGAGACCTAGGAAATTACACTTGACTCTCTTTCAGGCATCCCAATGTTGAAAAGCAAACCACCTTCATGAAAATCAAGAAATGAGACTTTCTTTCCCTAAATTTTTACGAATTTGCTCTTACCTGAAAAATTGTGTAGAAACTAAGTTCTTGATCAGCAGATGAAACAACTTCCAACTTAGAAGAGATAAATACCCTTGTTTTCAAATAACCTGAAATAAAATCCTCTGATAACCCCGATCCAGCATTCCCAATCTGCTCACCTAATGCAAGAAGGTCCTGCATATACACAAAAGGTCATTTTCGTAATTTGACTAAAAAAGAAGCCAATCTTTGTATACCTCATCAGACATATGATCGATATCCATACGCATATCTCTATGATGATCAACTCTTCGTCTATAATTAGAAATATCAAGCATTGCAACACCCTGTTATTAAAAACAAATAAATTGATAAAAGGAATTTCATTTTCTTGCATGATTTGATTATGAAGAGAGTAATATTTAATAATAATAATAATACATCGTCATAATGAACTCTTAAATGTGGAAAGCCATGTGGTCTTTCCAAGCTCGGTTAAAAGAGGGGTTTATGTAGAAGCTAGGGTTTATAAAAATCCATAGTTCCATTAAAGGAAAAAAGTTAGAGCATCAATAGAGATGAAGATTGAAACCTGCTTGAGATTTGGTCAAGATAAATTGGACATGACAAAGAAATTCAATGCACTGTTCTTCAATGTCAAATAAATTGAGAAGATGGTCTAATTCACCTGTTGTTCAATGAAATGATTCAAACAGAAGCCCTAATTTTAAAAGATGATAGCTATATTAAAAAAAGAGAGTCAACATGAGAAGTATCAAGAGGTTTACATTACCTTGGAGACGACATGAGAAGTATTAATCAAAAGTTTCAAGATCTCTCTACTACAATGGTTCAATCCCCCATTTTGATTCCCCCACAATCACCACAATGGTTTTGACTAGCGATTTAGTATAGGGAATAAACGATACAAAAGCTATCAAATAACCCTTGCGTGAAATTAAAGAAACCGTGAAGATTTTAGTTGATAGATGAAGAGCGATTTTAGTGAAGAGATGAAGAGCTGGGGAGGGGACGAAATCGATTTCTAACTGAAAAGAAAAATCTAATTGAATAGATAAACCTATTAAGGTAGCGGTCAGGGAGGTGAGACGGGACGCAATCACAGGTGTGGTGGAAGAGTCACATTCGTAGTCATCAGTGAGATGGAGGAGTCGCACACCTAATTGAGACTGAAACGATTCAGTTATAAGTATTAGCTTATCATTGGTCGATTTGTAATGAGGAAGGCCTGACGTCGCTGGAGGAGAAGTGACCAAAGGCGAAGCAAGGTGAATCGTCCATTGTTTCAGAGCTAAGAGATATGCGAGATTGTTTTCGTTCTTGAAAAAATCCCTAGCTAAAATGGTCACAACGATTTTGTGGAATTTAGTATTTGGTGATGTTTTGGGATTTTGTTGTGCGAGAAAAGAGGAGTGGTTATGATATTAGGGTTTTTTAGGTATTGATCAGTGAGGAGAGGAAGAACAATGGAAATAATGCAGAGGATGAACGAGATGTTTGATGATACTAAAGATGAAGATGAGGGACCTAGGGCTTTTTCTTGCTAAGTAGAAGTGGCAGGGGGATTAATTTTTAGGGTTCAATAGGCGGGGGTAATTTTCGTCGATTTCATTTTCTACCTAAAACGCGTGTTTCACTTAAAAATTATAAAGCGACACCTTTACATGACGCACATTTTATGAAAGGCTCCCTCCGCATTTCTTTTTTTTTTTTTCTTTTCTGACACTAATTTTAGGGCGCGCACAAATTCGTGCCCTCTATCCTTCAAATTTTGCAAAACTGACATTATCTTTTAGGGCACTTACAAATGCACGTCGTCTATCTGCGAGTGTCATTGTTTTCGCATCATTAAAGGGCTATTTTCTTGTAGTGTATGGAGCTTGGGATGAAAATATCATAGGGCCTGTGACAACCTGATATTTCGGGACAATGAAATATAACATCAGTCAAATATAGGTAAAAATTTAACTTTCCAAAAATCTTATTTGGGTTAAATAAAGTAGTAGGAATCGTGTCAAGGTTTTCATACATATAAAGAACCATAAAATCCGAGTTATAACGAAGAAGTTATGACCAACCGAAGATTCTCGGCAAAACCAACAATACTGATAAACGTAAAACGCGAAGTTTCAATACAATAGTTTTTTTGGCCTTAGGTATCTAAATGAAAGTTTTAGATATCACCAAACCATAAGCGTACATAAAAAGAACGTCCAAATCTGACTTCGTATGAGGAAGTTGTGATTTTTCTAAGTTGCAGATATAGCAGTAGACAACTAAAAACTCGAAATACAGATCGAGAGACTTTTAGCCGACACAATCTAAATGAGAATCGAAGGGCTCAACAATACTAGCGCGACGGTAAAAAGTCTGACGAAAACGGACGTCGGATGAAGAAGTTATGGAACTTTAACGGACTTTTCCTGTCCCGACCTATTAAAAATATATTATTAAAAATAAACTCAAAACTAGCCGAAGGAGTCTAAACGAAAGTTGTAGATCATAGTCTCACCTTCGTGTGGATATAAATAACGTCAAAAACGGAGTTCGTATGAGAAAGATATGAATTTTTGAAGTTTGTTAATTAATTTAAATATAAATTAAATTAAAGCCCGGTATTATCCGAAGAAGGAGTCACCAGTCCGATCCCTAGTACGCCCAATGTACCGTCGTACGCCCAGCGTACTCGGATGCTAGGCTCCGGTTATACAAGTTAAATACTCAATTATTGTCGTGTGTTATATAATAAAGTTCATTATACGCTTTTTATCAACGAAATCATATGTGATTTATAAACTTTATAGGAAACTTTTGTATACAAAATGTATCACGATAACATCATAGCTTTTAAAATGAAAAGTGTTGTTATATATATATACATAAATCAAACACTCTGCTTATACTGTATGTATATGCGTCCATCTTTGGTACTACAAACATACGATTATTTTGGCACGAAAAACATCAATATTTTGGGATACTTGTTAATAAATCAATCATATGGGATTTATAACTAGTATACAAATGGATTTTACTACAAGTTTAACAGTTTTACTAAACATATTACTTCAAATGACTTTCTTAAACGTTTTTACATGATTAAAGCTCGTTATCAAACTGTCTTACATACTGTAAGATTCCTTTCAAACTCGGTTACAAAGGTGTTTTCGAACAGTGGTTTTCCGTGTACTTAAACTGTCTTATCAAACAAAATACTTTCAATCATTTTATAAACTAACATCAAGTCACAAATTCTTTATTAGACTTTTCAACGGATTTACAAAACTTCTTTATGCTTTTATATTATAAATTGCATGCCTCTATATGTATAGTTATATAATAAATGTTTAAAAGACTTAGGAAGGCTATCCACCCTATTTCCTTTTCCTCGATTTGGATGTGGTCTGGTGGGATATCAGATACTCCTCCGAAGGTCGTTTAAATATTAGTTATATATCATGTATACATATATGGTCATAAATGTTCCATCAGTAAATTTAGTTCCGATACTCTTGGGTAGCAAGGGGTATAAACCTACTTGGACACTCATCAATTAAATTCTAGTAAACTATTATAGGAATAGTTTAGAGTAAACAAAACATTTTCCCTACTACAAGAAATTACACCAGAGTCAGTTCATTCATGAGTCTAGACTACATGCTATATGAAAGAATACTCTTACATGAATACTTATACATGAATACTTTTACATAGACACTATATGGCAAATTACTATTACACGTTACATATCTAGATACTGTTATATAATTCTCCTTTCTATCTTTACCTTGTGATACAATCACATCATCGACGAGATAGATTGGACCTTATATCCTAGTACTAAAGGATACTTTGAGGGACTAACCATTCCGAGAACCACTGTTAGTGTAACAGCCGGATTTTTCTGGTATGTTGTATATTTATGTTTCTGGTAATTTGTGAGGAGACTCGGCGACTTGGAGCTCAGACTCGCCGAGTAGGGACGCGGATCTGGTCGCGGGATCGCGCCTGGACTCGGCGAGTCCAGGATATGGACTCGGCGAGTCAGCGCTGTGTAATGAAACCCTAATTTCTCGGGTTTGAGACCTATTTAAAGGGCCTAATGGCCGTCATTTGTGCTCACCAGTCCCTTGAGTGAAACCCTAATCGAGTGTGAGCATTTGGAGCAAAGTAGAAGGCCATTATTGATCTTGGAGGTGTCATTGTTGCAAGGAAGGAGAAGAACTAGCCAAGGGAAAGCAAGTGGAGCCACTTCTGAGGGTTTGGAGTCCAGAGCATCACTATTGTGGTAATAATTTTGAGTTATCTTCTTCCTTGTTGATGTTTATCTAGATTTAGGGTTTGTTGAACCTTTTTGTGGCAAGATCTAGTGCCCTCTTGGTCCCTTATGAGGTTTGAACCATAGACCTGGACCCTTAGAGGTCCAGAGTGTCCCTTTACCCAAGCTTTTTGGGAATCAATGGAGGCTTTGGATTGGAATCCTTATGCCTTAGGTCAAAACTCCATTTATGAGCCATGGGGTGTGTTATGGGCATCAAGATAGAAGCTTTACGTAATGAATCAGTCTAGGGAGGCCAGATCTATAGATGGTGGAAGCAGATCTGACCTTAGAAGCAAGTTGGAGTGGTTGCATGGCAAGGACTCGCCGAGTCTGTTCATCAGAATCGGCGAGTAGTTTGAAGATTGCCTTGGGATTGCTCAGTGAGTGGTCCAATCGAGTCATGGGTAGACTCAGTGAGTCAGGGTGAGTTGGAGAGGGACGACAAGTGGACTGAGTCGAACTGGGACTTGCCGAGTTGTTCTTGAGACTCGGCGAGTTGAGTCGGGGTGGCCCCGCGATTCTTCCAGGTGAAACTCGTTGAGTAAGGGGGGGAATACTCGACGTGTAGGAAGGGAATTTCAGAGGGTTGGTGAAAACGTCTAGACTCGCCGAGTCGCCGTAGCACTCGCTGAGTCCGGTCAAAGTTGACCGTTAACCGTTGACCGTTGACCAGAGTTGACCTGTGTTGACTTCTTAGGGATAGTCAACCTTAGAGATATAAAGTGTTAATTAGAGATATATGATGTTATAGGAGGATTAGAGCTCGGAGGATCGAGCACGAGGGATTTCCAGGATTCGTGAGATACCGAGATACGCGAGGTGAGTCTTCTCACTATACATTACCTTGAGTAGGTAACCAGAGTTATGTGATAGAGTAATTGTATGCTATGTATGTTATGTGTTGTACTGCATTATTTCTATGTGATTTATGTGGTGCATGTTTATCAGAGTTAGAACCTGAGGGTTCACAGAGTTTGGGTGCACGGACCCACAGAGTTATAGCCTCGAGTGGCTATTATGTGTTAAATGTGGTATTTTGGGGAACTCACTAAGCTTTGTGCAGTGTTTGATGTTATTGTTTCAGGTACTGGCGACGACCGCGGGAAGGCGCTGGCTTGATCCGTACACACACACTCGGAGTTTTTACATTGTGATCTTGGGATTTTGTATTGACCTAAATTGGATAATTAATATGGTTGTTTTATGAATATTAATTGAATTATGTTTTATGAAAATTTGAAAATTTTGCTTTGAAATTTACGGTGTTACAGTTAGCTACAGAGGTAAATGAACAATCTACAGATGTTTTAGGTTGATACCGTCACAGGTATACATAAAGGACTAACTATTCCTAAACCCGGCTGTTAGCAACAGAGGTAAATGAACAATCTACGGATGTTTTAGGTTGATACCATTTCAGGTATACTTAAGGGACTAACTAATAATAGTTAAACAGGGAAAAACCGTCACATTTTCAAGTGATGCGTAATTTCAAAACATTCGAGTCTTGGTAGAAGACTACTTTTATACTAGTAGGAAATAAGGGATTTTCTAGAGTTTTTGATACTTATACTAAATGTTTCATCAATCATTCACCAGTCTTCCATAACAACTAATCAAAGAAATGACATTAAATACTTATGAACTCACCAGCTTAAATGCTGACCTACACTTTCAAAATAACTTGTATTCTCTGGTTACAAATAGACAGGTGTCGATGCAAGGTTTAGAGAAGACGGAGCAGTCAAGACTCGTCTTTTATTTTGATTAGTTATCATGTTGTCTTGTACTATGAAAGAAAACAATTGTAATTAAAATTATACTATTAATGCAATGGATGATGTTGTAGCTTGTTTACTACTTTGCAATTGTTGTGATGCATATATGACGTCCTCCGCCCCAGAACGTTTCCACGGTTCTCCGTTTTGGGGTGTGACAGGGCCTCCTATAATTTTCGTCCACTCCCATCTAAGGAGTCAAATAGCCCAGTTTTACTATTGGATAAGGTGTCTAAGTCCATAACTATTTCTGGTATGTACTTGACCCAACCTGGCATGGTCCATTTGGGTTGCATGGCACCATGCAATTGGATAGACTAAATGAGAGAAATAACAGTTGGAGATTATTAATATATTATAAGTTCTAATATATTAATAATATTATTTGAACAAGAATTAATTTATAATTAATTAAGTGATCAAAAGATAACCAATTAAATATATGGGTTGATTAAGTAAGTCATTCATATCTTGTATAGTGGGCTAAGAGGCTCCATGGATTATCAAGTTGGGTTCCACCCATAGGATGCTCCATGGATGCTCCATGGGAGTTACAAACCCATGGGTCATGGAAATAAAGAGTCATGACACATTAGGGTTTACATGGTGTAACCCTAGATGTGTCAACACTATATAAGAATCCTATTCTCCACCAAAATTGGCTACACATGTGAAACAAGAGGGCTAGGCCGATTTCTAGAAGTGTGTATTCTCTCGAAAGTCTTTCCAAGAGAAT